AAACCTTTTAGATTGTTAGGTCTTCTGCCAGGTTCATTGTTTTTCAAAACTTGTTTTTGTTTAGCCTTTAGCTTTTGGTTCTCTGGTCTGACTTTCTCATGTATAACCTTAGTACCAGAAGTACTAGCATGGCAGTTGGGGCTGCAAGTCTGTGGCACTATGACCTTTTTAGCTTTAGCAACTTGGGTGCTAGACCTTACAGAAGGCTCACCAGACTTGGGTTCAACATATCCAAGACCAGAGGTGAGATTATGAACACCATCAATACTTTTTATTGAAGATTGCATCTTCAAAAGACTATCATATCTGATTTCAAGATTCTCAATTTCTCTTATTCTTTTTAGAAGAGACTCATTTTCAGCTTCCAGTTTGTCTCTTTCCGTAATTAAGAGATTAAGTTTGCACTCAGTCTCTTTTCTCAAGTCAAAGATTTCAAACTTTAGCTTACTGTTCTCCTCTTTAATAGAAGAATAAGTGGCTTGGATAGTTTTGAATTCTTCCCAAAATGATGACATTGGATCATCATTTAAGGCTGTGCCTACCGAAGAAGAAATAGAATCAGCTGTAGAATATACCTCATCATCAGATTGTGCCATCAGGCAAAGATCTTCAGTCTCTGTATCTAGGCAGCAGAATGCCTCATCAGAGTCAGAATCAGAACTGGACTCTGATTCAGAGAGGGGATCTCTCTCAGCTTGCTTAGAGACAAATGCCTTCCGTCTTCTGTGTTGATCTTCATGTTTCTTCTCTCCTTCTTGTCCTTGCTTCTTGGACACTCTTGGAAAGGGGCAGTTGGCCTTGAAGTGGCCTGGCTGTCTACAGCTGTAGCAGAGGTACTCTTCATTGCTTTCAGAGGACTTGGTCTTCTGAGGAGGTCTTCTGCTAGAAGATGGACTCCTTCCATCTTTCTCCATGAATTTCCTAAATTTCCTAACAAAAGCGGCCATATACTCGTCAGATAATAGAGTAGAAGGGTCAAAGTTGTTTACCTTAGAAATGCTGGTTGTGAGTGCAGTGGTGGTTCTCTCATCAGGCACTTCTTCCTTTTCTTCATACATCTTAAACTCATAAGCTTTGAGATCTGAGACCAGTCTTTCAGTGGGGTAGGTCTTGATATTCTTGCTCTCTTGGACTACAATCACCTTCATCTTCCACGTTGGAGGCAGTCCTCTAAGAATCTTCATGTTGACTTCTTTGATTGTGAGCTCCTTGCCAAGCTCAGAAATTTCACTGATAAGAATCAGCAGTCTCTCATGCATTTTAGCAATGCATTCATCTGGCAGCAGTCTGAAGTCATCAAACTTCTTCATGGCTATGGTCAGCTTGTTGTCTCTCTCTTGTTCATCACCAGCACTTATCTCATCAAGCTTGTCCCAGATTTCCTTTACTGTTTTGCACTTCTTAATTCTATTGAAGTATCTTTCATCTATGGCCTTGTAGAGGATGTCCTTGGCAATGTTGTCAAGATTGTATTGTTTTTTCTCCTCCTTTGTCCATTCAGATCTTGCTTTTTCAATCATCTGGGGCTGAGAGTTATCTGTAGAGTGAGCAGGGTTGACCTTCATGAACTGGATGAAGGTGCCATTTTCCAAAACTTCCCACATTTCATCATGAAGAGCACAAAGATGTGCCTTCATCCGGATCTTCCAATCATCATACTTCTGATATGTGAACATAAGGTGCTTTGCAAGAGAGTTATCCATAATAAGAAATAGAAAGGCTAGAACAAGTGGATCTGTGTTCAAGGAGTAACCTAAAAGATTACAAGAACAAGGTAGCTCTGATACCACTTGTTGGTCCCGTTTGAGTATGAAGCAGTCTAGAGGGGGGGGGGGGTGAATAGACTGCTCTGATTTTACAGATTTTTCTCTAAGTCAAAAACTGACTTATAAGAGGTGGTCCAAATCTGATGACAGAGGTGGTCGAGTTCTGATGCAGAACTGGACCAGGCAGCGGATATGAGTTCAGTCAGGATAGCCTCAAGAAAATACTAAGGCAAATGCCTTTCTGATAACTCTTAACACAAGATCTGCTGAACACAGATTCCAAGTTTTTAAGAGTTATACAGTTAGAATCCTAAGTGCAGAAATTGAATGCAGTAAAGTAAATGACATCGGGGATTTTTATAGTGGTTCAAGGAACAACGCGTTCCTCTAGTCCACTGTTCCACTAAGCTTGTAAATTTAACAGTTACAACGCCTTAGTCCCTATCACTTAAGAAGCACTCCACGTCTTCTTCAAGCCTAGTTGCCACCCGGGATGCAGTCCTGCTTCCTGATGGTTGGTCCTTTCACTGAGCTTCCCGGAAGTATCACCACTTCACTACTCCAGTTAATTGGACGTCCTTCTTTGCAGAAGATGTTTCGAAAAACAGAGTTTTTCTCCAACTTGCTTCGTTACAATAGATTTGTTGATGAAGCGCTTGAAGTGTTGAAGAACAGGAGGAACTTTGCTCTTTGTTGGGGTAGAAGAATTTGAGTAGTTTAATCTTCCCAACGTAAGCTTTGTCTTATGGAATGAATATGGAGTTTGAATCTCAATAGAGCTTGTTTGAATATTTCGAGAGCAAAAGTTATCCAATTGTCCTTCGTCGAGTATCTTTTATACTGGGAGTTGTCTACCCGTTGGAGGAGGAGACAACTGCATTGAATGCGCGTACTATGGAGTTGACCGGTTGGACCCGCATATTTGGCAGGTTTCTATTTTTGTATAATATTCTCCAAGAATCTCGGTCAATCATCTGCAATTACTCCACAGCGTATCAGGCTCATTAAATGAGCATTAAATGCTTTCCTCTGGTGAAATATCTTCTAGCCGTTAGGGAATTTCCCGTTAGTTAGACGGCCGTTGAAAGAAAGCATCGAATCCTTCTAAGTGTTAGGTGTCTGATGGGAGTCTCTGATTAGCAGTTCTCAAGTCGGACTCTGATGGTTCTCTGATAGCTATATGAGGGCAGCTCTGGCAGCAGTTCTGATGATACCTCTGAACAGCAGCTCTGCAGGTAACTCTCATAGCTGGTTATCATAACAACTCAGATCAGAAGTACCAAGAGGATCTCTGGCCCGTCGACTATGCTAATACTTACAAAGAAAGATTCTAATACAAAATTTCTTTAAGGGGTACTTTAAAATTCTAATCTATCCTAGCATCATCAAAATCTAAGTACAATTATTCCTTATAGAAAGAAACTAAGATCACCAAGGAATAAAAATGAGTTTACAAACAACATTTTTCCTTGGGTTTTGTGATCTTCTATGCTTCATTTTCTTGCCTCTTTTTCTTCTTCTCTTCTTCCTCTTCTTCTTCTTCTCCTCTTTCTCCCAAGAGATCAAATGAGTTCCTGCACACAACAAATATTTCTCTCATATCTCTCATTTTGGCTAGGAGCCTTTTCAGGTTTTCATCCTAGCATCTCTTTTTGTTTTTCCATCCTCCCTAACTCACTCATTTTATTTTTTATAAGCCATTTTTGCTTAGATTGCCCATTTTTGGGTTTTCAACCTAACTAGCATTTCTTTTTTTTTATTTCTTTTTTACAAAGAGTAAAAAGAAATTCATGCATAGTAAAGGGTAGAAAATAAAATTACATACCATGAGGAGTCTCCCTCCTTCTCAGTCCAAGCACTGTCCCTAGTGCCCGCCTTCGCCGCCATAGTAGCCGCCTCCAAAACCGCCTCCAAAGCCGCCTCCAAAGCTCCCGTCGCCCATGTGAGTATCTCCGCCATCCCCGCCATCATAATCTCCACCCCCGGAGCTAGATCCTCCAAAGTTACCCCATTGAGTGGGGACATACCAAGAGGGGGGTGGGAGTGGTTGAGCCATAGTATGGAACGAGGCTTGATGGGCCGTGTATGAGTACATAGGCCCATAGAACCTACGTTGATCTTCTTCGTACCTCCGGTTATCTTCGGCCCGTTGCTCCTCAAGTCTTTGAAATCCTGCCCTTTGTTCCTCCCAATATCTTCCAACTTCATCGGTAACTTTGTTGAACCCATCAAGTAGTTGTTGGAAGTAATCGGGTGGTGGGGGGGCTTGGTTCTGTTCGGGAATGTGGTGAAGTACAGCCTCGGGTTCATGGTGCTCGGCTTGAGGTTCTTGGTCGGGTTGGTTTTCGGGGGGGGGGGGGGGGGCTTGAGGTTCTTGTAGGTGTGGTGGAAGGAGGTGTGGGAACAAGTAATGGGGCACATCTCTGTTGTAATGGAGTTTGGGGAGGTCCGGGTTAGGCAAGGGGTAATGTCTTACCGGTCTTGGGTGTATGAGCCAATTGTAGACATGTCGGGGTTGGTCTTCCCCATACACCGTGTGAGAAAAAGTAGTACACCCCGAGTTGCCTAACCAAGTAATATTCATTAAACAATAGTCGGGTATAGGAGAGTTATCCATATACCCAAACTTTGTTGCCAAGTGCATAATCACCCCACCCAAAACAATTGGGCCTTTAGCAAAGCATTCTTTCTTTAGGGCCCACATTAAATTGCAAAGGTTAAAATCCACGACGCGACGGAACAAAACTGTGGTCATCAAACATACGTCCCCCATCCTAGTATGATGATTGTTGGGGCACCCAAGTATACAATTTGCCAAAAAGTTTAAAAATATATGGAGGATGGGATGATGTACATGGCTTATGTATAGTTGGGAGGAGCTAAAGTTCACCTCTCCGGTCATTTTGGTCCAAAGTGCGTGACCCATTACGGTGTTGTCCGAAATTTCTCTCTCGTAGGGGACGGGATGTAAAGGTGATTGGAGAGATAACTGGAACAACTGGCTAATTGGAACTGTGTGTAACAAACTTATACCAAAATACACATGCGGAACTGCAATCACAATGAATAGACACAGACGGTGTTGGTTTTTGTACCAACTGGAATTTCTGCTAAGAAGTTTTTCAACCACTCCGCTTCACTACTAACCACTTCCAAAGCAATAAGCTCGGACTCAATAGTGGATCTACAAATTATAGTTTGTTTGGTTGATTTCCACGTAATGGCACCACCTCCAAGGGTTACACGTGTATTATCTGGAATCTTCTTTACCTTATCCATTTGGAGTGATGTGGCGCTTCTTACAGTGTTGTTGACGTGGCGATAGTTTATGTGGCCTTTGATTCAGCGAAATGCCTAAGTCCATATAATGCTGGTAAGATCCCTAGCTCCTGGAGGTCAAAGCTCGGGAGCTCGCGCTCATTATTGGAGGCTTTATCTCTGGTCTTCAGTCATAAATTTCCCGGAAAGTCACTTTTCTGGGCATACCCGGTCGGTGATAGGTGTGAAAACACATAATACTTTCTCATAAAATGTGGTCTTTGTTTGTTAACTTTTGCAGATTATTCTCCCATTTTGGTTTTATTTGTTCAAAACTTTGGTTGTAGGAACCACATGAAGGACTTGAGCTTTGTAGGGGTGACAACCGAGCATTTGAAGAGTCTCGAGAGCATAAATGAATTATTTGAAGACCCCGGGAACCAAGCGGAGCATAAGGAAGCAAGAAACGAAGATGTCGGAGGTGTTTCGGGGAAGGCAGCCTCAAGAACGCCTAAGGGAACGTCGTTTCACCTAGCGTTCCCCCGTTTTGTTCCTCCGGATTTGGAATTTCATGTCCCAGGTGTGGGAACGCTAGAAGGGGACGTCGTTCCTGTAATCGTTCCTGCGAGAACGACGTTCCTCTTCCATTCCTCCCAGAGTCGAACTTTCTACCAACTGACTGCTTTATTTTGTTAAGGGTAGGAACGCCGCGGTGGAACGTCATTCCTCCCTGGCGTTCCCCCGATTCCCCATTTGTATAAATAGCGGCCCTTGTTCGAAATTTCATAGTTTTTGGACGAGAATTATCTTGCAAACCCTAGTTTTGGTTGTAAGCTTCCTTAAACTCTTGTGCATTGAATTCCTAAGCTTTATTTACATCAAATGCTTGTTCTTCTTTCATTTAATATCTTATATTGCATTAAATCCCTAATCTCACTCCCTTTCTCTTATTGCTTCACTTCATGACTTTGTGTTGCATATGCTTTACAAGTATGAAATTTAGCATGAGTGAGTAGTTGGATTAGGGATTGGGGGTGTTTGAGGATCATTCAACCATGTGAGGTTATAGGTTTTGGGGTTGGATTTGGGGGAATTTGAGAAATATATCATGCACACAATGTGTTTGTCAAAATGCTTATTTGAATTACTAAGACTTTGATGGCCACAATGTTCTTAGATGTTGGTTTGGACTCTCAAGGAGACTTGTAGGGTTTCTTTTGACACATTCACACACATACACACACTACCTCCTCTCCATGAGAATGGGAGAAAGTAGGGGAAGGATTGTTGGTTGCTCTTCTTTGCATGACTTTGGATTGCTATTGGACCATGAGAATGGCCAATAGGAGCCCTTAGTACCCCCTTGACCATGAGAGTGGCAAAGTGAACTTGTACCTATCCCTTTGTTGCATGATATATTCCCAAGTATCCTCATTTTGACCCCTTATCCTTAATCATAGGTTGTTCCTTGTATGCCCTCGCTTCCCTTCTAGTTTATTTGTTATCTATTTCCATTGCAATTTAGTTGTTCTCTTAAACTAAACATACTTCGATTCGGCTAGCTTACGTGTTAGATTACTAGATTGATTGCACACTTGATTTTCCATATACACCGTCCCGTGAGACGATATCCGAGACTTCCATGTCCCGACACCGATGAGCATTATTGTGAAAATGGCTCGTCAGTCGGGTATGTCGGCATACCCGATCGGGTATATGACAATTTTTCACGAAAATTTGCTCTCACGGATTTGATTTAGACACTCGAATCAAGCCTATACCCGATCGGGTACATGAGTAATATTTCCAAATCGAAATCTTTCTTGCCTCCTTGCACTTTCTGTGATCTTTTAAGGTCCAATCATGATCCCTTGGATGATCTTTGACATGTTTTAGCTCACAAAAGTCCTAATCTAAATAAATTACAAAAAATTATGAAAATAAAGTATTACACCAAAAGTGTATAATTTCCACAACTAGAACTAATAAAACTAGTTAAAAATACAAACATACATAATAGGAAATTCACACCATCAAACTCCCCCACACTTAGTTTCTTTACTCGTCCTCGAGTAAAGCCAAATGTTTACAAGTGTTCCAAGTCTTCAATAGTTCAACAATTAACAAGAAAGAGCAAAAGACCACCAAGGATTACACATGAGTTTTACATTGAGTTTTTAGCTCAAAGAATAACATCTTCTTGGGTTTTATGGCCTTCTATGCTCTTCTCTTGCCTTCAATTCCTTCCTTCTGCTTCTTGAGACCATCAATGCGCTGTAAAAATAAATGCATCTCTCATATCTCTCATTTTTCCTAGGAGCCTTTTCAGGTTTTCATCCTAGCATCTCTTTTTTTTATTCCTTTCCAACTCACTTGTTATTTTTTTTATAAGCCCTTTTTGCTTAGATTGCTCGTTTTTGGGGTTTACAACCTAACTAGCATTTCTTTTCTTTTTTTCTATTTTTTTGTGTGCGAAGAAAATAATGCAAGTTACAAGGTAGAAAAATTAAGTACGTACCAATGAGTGACTCCCCGTCACTTAGCTCAAAGCAAGAATTCCTAGTTCATCCAAAGTATTCATATACAAGAAACGGGAATGGTGTACCTCTCTTTCGGTTTTGGGCCAAGAATTTTGCCCGGTGAGCGGATGAGGTGAGGATGATGTTTTCAAAGCCGGGAACCGGTGCTCTAGATGAAGAACTTTCTCCCCTTGTTCTTTTTGGGGCCATTGTTTCTTGAAACTTTGAATTTTGAGCTCCCAATTTCGGACTTGGGGGTGTGGTATATATTTTTCGGACATAAGTTTTGGGGGGAGAATGTGGTGTTGATGGATAGGGGTTGTAGAGGGAGATGTGGTGGTTTGGAGTGATTTGGAGTGATTTGGTAGAAATTTGAGGGAGTGAGTTGATGAAGAAAAAATCGTCTATGGAGGTTTGGGAGAGGGTTTCTCAAATTGGGGTTTGATATGAGGAGAAGATGAGGAGTTTGGGCATTGATTTGGGTTTAAAATCCCGATTACTCGACCGGGTAAGGCTCTATATCCGATTGGGTATGGTCTCGTTTTTCAAAACCCATGTACCCGGTCGCGTAAAGGGTATACGCGATCGGGTGATTTGCACCGTATGAATTAAATCAGTTTTTCCAAAATATACCCGACCGGGGTAGCGTGGTATACCCGACTGGGTATGTGTATTTTGTGCCTTTTTCAAATCATTTTATTCAATCGAGTATAGGACGTACTCGATCCAAATCTTGCCTTTCCACTCATACCCGACCGGGTAGGTGGTTATACCTGATCGGGTATCTTGCCCTGGAGCCTTATTTTTTCTTTTTTTCTTTTTGCTTGGACCCGACCGGGTAGGTGAGTATACCCGATCAGGTGTTTTCCCAATCACTCAAAACCTGATTTTTTTTCTCTCCCTTTCTCTCAAAGATGACATTCAAAGTAAAAGAAAACAAAAGACAAGGATGGAAAACTACGTACCTTTGCTTGGGTTGCCCTCCAAGAAGCGTCTTAGCTAACGTCGTGGCACAAGGTTATTTTTTATTTTGTTTTCTATTTTAATTGGGATCATGAACATCCGTTTTTTTATTTTCAATGGTCTTCTTTGGCCAAGTTTCAATTTTCTTTTTCGGCTTTTTCCAGTAAGGCCGATCTTTCTTCTTTGTTACCACCTCAACCGCAGGTGGTTTTAGTTCACATTTTAACAACTTTCCTCCAATCAAAGACGATTCACCATGCTCAATTTTTTCTTCTTCTTTAAAAATTGAGATTTTCTCAGCCTCCTCAAAATTATTTGGTTCTAGTGGTTCAAAAACATTTAAAGAACAAAGAGATTGATCTTTAATTTGTTTTTTTGTAGAATCAAAGATGTGGAATTCTACTTTTTGGTCATTGAACTCTGAAGTTAATGAACCACTAGACACGTCAAATTTTGTTTTTGCGGTCTTCAAGAAAGGTCTACTCAAAAGGATGGGTGTTGTTTGGTCATCATGTCCCATTTCAAGGACATAGAAGTCGACAAGGAAAACCATACTTTCTACTTCTACTAGCACATCTTCTATGACACCCTTCGGGTAGGTTCTAGAACGATCCGTTAGTTGAATCACTACACCGGTTTGATGTAGTGGGCCAAGGTGTAGGGGTATATAAACGGAGTAAGGGATGACATTTATTGACGCCTCTAAATCCAACAAGGCCTTAGAAAATGTGGTGTTTCCTATCTTGCAAGGAATAGTGAACATGCCTGGGTCGCTACATTTTACGGGGAGTTTCTTTTGAAAAATAGCCGAGACACGTTCACTAACCTTAAATTGTTTCCCCTTCAATTTATTTTTCCTTTTTGTTTGGCATAATTCTCTTAAAAATTTAGCACAACGGGAAACACTTTTAATTAAGTTAAGGAGCGGAATGTTTACCTCACACTTGGTGAAAGTCTCATAGATGTTAGCATCTTTCTCCAGCTTCCTTGTCTCCCTCAGCGCCTAAGGGAATGAGGCTACTGGTTCATATGATGAAAGTGGAGGGAGTTTTGCCTTAGTGGTCCCCTCCTCTGATTGAGCTTCTTCTTCAGGATCAACCTCCTCAATCTCTTGATCTTCCTTCTCTACCTCCTTCAATGTCGTCTCACTTCTCAACATGATTGCATTCACATGTTGTCTCGGGTTTTGTTCCGTTTGAGATGGGAGTTTACTCGAGTCCTTTGCTTCTATTCGGCTCACGATTTCGGCCGGAATTAGATTTTGTTTATAAATGTTGTTTAACCTTGAAAAAGATGACCTTACTCAAGGTTCCCACTTGAAAAAAGATTTCCCAAAATGGAAAAAGATTTCGACCAGAATTAGATTGTCACACGTAAGCCCGAAAGAGTGTTTGACAATTAGTGTTCTAGAGAAGGAAATTTAATTACCGACCAAGGAGGGAGGAATTTCCGGAGAGGGATTAGCCAGAACAGGGCTCTCCTGGGGGCTTCAGGATTCACCATCAGATCGTGCAGCCCCCAAACTAGAGCAGAAAAGGAGGGATTTTCTTCTGCATAGCCTCATAGAGGGACTTCTGCATGCCATATAGGCCGAGCTTGAAGCACAACGTCCCCTCTTCATCCAACCTGGCCTCCCACTCTCGAGAAAGGAGTCAGTCCTAGGCGATCTGAGCTCGGCGGTCAAGCAGGTGCTGTTTCACTTCCGCCTAAAAAGTCTCGCTCTCCCGGAAGGCTTGGACCGAACGGGGTTGACCTCTTCTATAACACCACACACCGTAGAGTCCTAGATAGTTACTCCTACACACCCTCTAGACCTCTAGTACTGCCCTCACAAACCGCCACTAGCCTTTTCCACGCATTTTGTCCTCACTCGTGTGCTCCCTAATAAACTTTCTAGGGGGTCACCCATCCCAAGACTACTCTCGTGCAAGCACACTTAACTTTGGAGTTCTTAGCTGATGAGATCCCTTAAAAGGAGATTGATAAGTCCGTATTTCGACACGCATTTGATGCGTGTTGGGATCGACTTTTGATAGTTTTCCTAGCTTTAGGGCGACATAAGTCTCAATTTTAGCTCAAGTCACGTTTACCGGGCGTTGGTTCGAGTTTTGGTATTTTTGGAGTCAAAATCAGGTTTTTAGAACCCGGTACCGGCGTTTGAAAAGAAGTCGAGACGGGTTGAGATGCATTCGAGAGAGAATTGAGAGCTTTGGAGGTCACCTGGAGATTCACGATGATGATTTGATGAAGAAAGAGCTCTAGGATCGGTCGCATGACCAAACGGTGACTTAGAGTCGAAGAAACCGAAGAATATGTTGATTCAAGGCCACGCACGACCGTGCGTACAAGTACGCACGCTGCGTGCGTGGCAGTAGCTGCCTGGGCGAGAAGAGTGTTGACGCATGTCGTGCGCC